TGGAAAAGTGCTGTATCAGGAGCAGGGAGACCAATTAGGAAAATACTGCAATAACCCAGGTGAGAGGTGAGGAGGACTTGAATTAGTTCAGATCTGAAAGAGACTGTGGAAGCAGACTCAAAAACACTTGGTGACTGATTGGTCATGGGAATAAAAGGGGAAGGTACGTAAATAAGCATTTATTAAGTGCTCATGGACTACTTAGATGTGGTAAAAATATCTTTTGTATAAGAATGATGGTCAAGATATTATACAAAATATAGCTATATGAGGCAAAGAGTAATAAGGTATAATATATCAACTTATAGACAATTACTTATATTGAGGAAGCAGTTTGAAGTGATAAAAAAATATTAAATGATAAGGCCTGGATTAGAGATTGTAGAAATAGTAATAAATTCGCCTCTTTCCTTTTTCCTGTTGTTCCTTCATCTGAAAACCATAAAACAAATGTTATAAATTTTCTACCTATCAGTGGCAATACGTATACTATTCAGTTTCTGGCGGACCTGTACTCGCACCCAGTAACAAACATGAAGAAATGCTGTGATATCTTGTGTGAAGAAAACGTGATATCTTAAATATGAAAAGGGGAAAAAAACCCTAAAATCAGGAATTGCTTAATACAAAATATGAAAAAAAAATTTATATAATTTCACACAACATCCAAACCTGAAGAGATGTGAAGACAACTACTGAGAATCAGAAAAAATGACTCTAGTACTGGGAGTATGAAATGCTTTGTATTCTTCAGATGGGGGAGGGGGGAAGCATATCAAGTGGATAATACAGAATTACAAAGAAATTGCCAAGAATTAGGTATTTAAAGACACTGGTTGCTGTGAATTCGACCCAATAACCAACCGACATTTGATGCCACATGACCATAGTTATTCTGTGTTATATGTTGGTGTTTGCAGATCCTACTTTTAAATTTATATACTACTCAAAAGGACATCACACACAATAAAAGAAGACATCACAAATATGGACTCCATGCCCCAATATCCATCATCACTTCCTTCTCCAAGTATTTTCTAAATATCTAATGCCAAAAAAAATGTGACTCAGTATTGCCAATGCCTGATGTACAGCAAATGCCATAAATAAACACTTCCTAAAAAGGTTCCTTTCCCATAACATTACTTGATACTGAGGTTTGTAGCAATAATATAACATTAAGTCATGATCCTAAGAGACTTGGTTAAATGACTGCCTTGATTCATTATATTAACAAGAGGATTAACATAAGCAATCAGCAAAAAAGAAAATAAAAAAAAATATATATATATATACAGCGATCACAAATTATGATGCTAATAAGTTTTGAGGACTGGAAGATACAAATGGATATAAGAAAGCATAATAGTTAATGGTCTCCTATCAGTTGGCAAGCATTTATGAAAGGCCTTCAATGTCCAATGCCCAATGAGGCTGGAAAGTTAAGCTGAGGACAAATTGTGAAGGTCTTTAAAAGCTAAAGAATTTTTATTTTATCCAGGAGGCAATAGGGAGCTATGCAATGTCAGCCACTTTTGCAGTCAGTCTGAGTGACCTCATGTTTAAACCTTGCTTTAGACTTTGGGTACCTGAGTAGACATTGCCTACAGGAAATAGTAATCCAGAAATACTTAGACACAGGGGAGGAGCTGAGGCAGTACATAATCCATCTCCTCATGATATGTATGTATCAATCAACATATTTTTGCCCTTACATGAAGTTATTTAATCCTGTCTATAAAAGCCAAGCACAGTTTGAAATCCTCACCAGTCACACCCAATTGCTTGCTGCCTTGGTGTGCTAATAAATTAACTTTTACCTCTCCTTTTCTGAGTTTGCCTTATTAACCAGGCCAAGGCTGGAAGGAACCAAGACGCCTTTTTTTTTTGGTGTAATAATTTTTTTAAAATTTATTTTGATTTATCAACAATCACTTCCATATGCTTTTGAGCTTAAAATTTTTCTCCCCCTTCCTCCCTACCACCCTCCCCAAGACGGCGCACAATCTGATACAGGCTATACATTTACATTCCTATTAAACATATTTTCACATTAGTGATGTTGTAAGTACAAATTAGAACCAATAGGAGGAACCACCAGAAAGAGGAAACAAAACTCAACAGAAGAGGAAAAAAATAGCAAATAGCATGCTTCGATCTGCATTCAAATTCCATAGTTCTTTCTTTGGATGTAGATAGCATTTTCCATCACGAGGCCTTTGGAGATGTCTGAGATCCTTGTATTGCTGGGAAGGGTTCAGTTTATCAAAATTAGTCATCACACAGTGTGGCTGTTATTGTGTACCACGTTCTCTTGGTTCTGCTCACTTCACTCAGCATCAGACCATACAAGTCTTTCCAGATTTTTCTGAAGTCAGCCTGTTCATCATTTCTTATAGCACAACAGTACTCCATTACATTCATATACCACAGCTTGCTCAGCCATTCCCCAACTGATGGGCATCCTCTCAATTTCCAATTCTTTGCCACCACAAAAAGAGCTGCTATAAATATTTTTGTACATGTGGGTCCTTTTCCCATGTATATGATCTTATAGCCCTAGAAGTGCTATTGCTGGATCAAAGGGTATGCATATTTTTATGGCCCTTTGGGGCATAGTTCCAAATTGCTCTCCAAAATGGTTGGAGCAGTTCACAACTCCACCAACAATGCATTAGTGTTCCAATTTTCCCACATCTTCTCCAACATTTATCATTTTCCTATCTTGTCATGTTGGCCAATCCGATAGGTGTGATGTGGTACCTCAGAGTTGTTTTGATTTGTATTTCTCTAATCAATAGTGATTTAGAGCATTTTTTCATGTGACTATGGATGGCTTTAATTTCTTCATCCAAGAACTGTCTGTTCATATCCTTTGACCATTATCAATCGGGGAAATGAGTTATATTCTTATAAATCTGACTTAATTCTCTGTATATTTTAGAAATGAGTCCCTTATCAGAGAGACTGGTTGTAAAAATTCTTTCCCAATTTTCTACCTTCCTTCTAATCTTAGTTGTATTGGCTTTATTTGTGCAAAAACTTTTCAATTTAATGTAATCACCAAGATGTCTTTTAACAATTCTGAAAACAAACAAACAAACAAACAAAACACAATTCTGGCAACCATGAGGGGACACACATCATAATCACTGGTTGAGCACCCATCCAGTTCCACAGCCTGGCATTGGGACTTTCATCCAATCTTGAGTCAAAGTTGACTCTCAATGGTCACTTAGCTTTGAAATAGTCGGAGAATTAAGCTCTCCAAACTCAGGAAGGATAAGGAGAAATAGGTCCTGAGCCCAAAACTGATTCTTTCTCATTTGTGCACAAAAATACAGGAGCCAGGGCAAAGAAAAGGCAAGTGGTGTGTAACTAGTTGGTCTTAACCTTACATTAGGTTGCTAAGGGACAGAACAGTCAAGTGATACCAGTATCACTATGGAATCAGGACAGCTGTACTTGCTAAAAATCAGACTGAAGATCTAGAGCCCCCAAGCAAATGGATTATTGTTCCTTATAACCATGTCCATTAGAGGCACCAGTCTCCTCCAACAGACCTCCATCACATAATCTGGATTCCTCAAAAACACAAAGCACCCTTAAAAACCACTTTTGTAGGAAATGATCAGAGAAGAATACATGTCCCTTTTTCTCCAGGAGACATTGCATTATGGCAGCAATCCACTCTACCCTTTTGGATGGATTCAGTTACCATGATTAAAACAATTTAGACCATTATAAGCAACCATAATCCCACTTGGGAGGATATTGATAAGTTATTAGATGTCCTCACAAAGGAAGCAAAAATCCAATACTATGCTGCAAAGTTAAGGGATGAAAATAACTCCTGATTGGAATTATAATGAGAATATTCAATGATGCAAAAACAACCCTCTGTGATGCGTTGTGCAAGTGACACAACAACCAATAGATTGGGAGAAGTTTCATAGCACTACTTTTAAAATTCAGGGGAATATCCCAATGCTTTGTGTGCTGTCACCCAAAAATTTGCTCAGAGTCAGAAAATGAGAATGATCTAAAAGCATTTGCTTCAGCCTGTGTTAATCAACTGACAACACACATTTACAATTAATTTCATAAATTCTGCCCTAGCTGGAGTGGGAAAACTAATACCGAACTCAGAAACTGCACTGTACATGATGGGCAGAAGGAGAAGGAACTTAGCAAAGAGAAGGAAAGGTTAAGGAAGCGAAGATTCTGGCTGCTGCCAAGAAGGGGGCAATGAAAGAGGGAAGAAGAGAAAGGACAAAGTACTGGAATGGGAGATTTACCAAACAAGGGAGGAGAGAGGCAGTGTGCTTTCACTGTATAAAAGGAGGGGCACTTTAAGTGGAATGGCAGAAAACATGAATGGGAGGAGGCCTGCAGCAGAGGGCAACATGCTCCAAGTTTTCCAAAGGGGGTCCCCATGAGGAACCAGCTGCCACATGAACCACCCCCCCACCATTGCCTTCCCCATCTCCCAATCACCACAGATAACAGCCTGTACTTTTTTCTGGATAATAGGGATGAATATTTACAATGACTGGGGGGGGGGGCAGTGCCTGAAAACCAGGGATGTTTCTTGAGAATGTTGAAGGGGATTTGGGTGTAGTTAAGGAGCCCTTACTTGAGATTACTGTTAATGGGAAATTATTTGGTGGACACAGGGGTGACTTTATTGGTACTTAAGTGCCCCATCTTCCCCCAGGTCTCCAGGTGTTAAAAACTGAAAGGGTAATAGCTGTCTTAGGAAACAGTGAGATGTTCACCTTAACCACCCTACTTAAAGTAGATGCTGGACCTTTAACATGTTTCCACACCTTTTTATCAATGCCTCACTGCCTTGTCTCACTGTGAGGAATGTTATGTAAACTTGAGGCCATTATTTACTATGATCTGAGAGGGTTTAGGTTAGAATACAAAGGAAGTGATTTGGCTCATTGGATTAGAACCCCTAATGTCTGATTTGCCTTTCATTTTTTGAAACTTACCTGCCACTTTGTGGGATTCACGAAGTCAATAGAACCCATGTGGATCCAAACTAAGGATGAACCTTGTACAAACAAATAATATCAATTTAGAGGTTGCTAAATCTATTCCAAAATTCATCACTGCTTACATCCAGCTGGGAGTAATAGTGCCATGTTAGCCATTTTTCAAAACCCTTGTATTGACAGCGAGGAAATACAAGGTGGATGATGAAGGCCTATCTGTATACTGATGTGTCCAGGACCTGAAGGCTATCAATAATTTTGTCAACCTGAGGGCCCGAATTGTCTCAAATCCTATTTCTACTATCACCAATATTCCTCGCAATATAAAGCACATTGTTATTGACTTGTGTGCTACATACAAACGTATTTATTTATTTATGTATGTATTTAGTGTTCTGGTAGGTCCAGACTCATAGCACCTATTTGTCTTTATTTGGAAAGGCCAGCAATACACTTGGACCAGGCTCCCCCAGGGCTATTGTGAATCTCCTACTCCATTCACACAAGCATTTGTCAAAGACCTACAACATGTCTACCTGCCCTGGGGATTTTGCTTAATTCAATATGTTGATGACTTACTGCCTGCCACCCTTTCCAGGGGAACCTATGGGGAAAACACCCTACACAGTTTATGAAAAGAACTACCAAGTCTCTCCTTTAAAGTTAGATGTGGACAGAGCTCCAGCCTTGGAGTCAGGAGGACTGAGTTCAAATCCTGCCTCAGACATTTGACACTTAGCTGTGTGACCCTGGGCAAGTCACTTAACTTTGACTACCAAAGCAAAAAATAAATAAATAAAATAAAGTTACAGTTTGCCCTTCCCACAGTGCAGCACTTGGGGTATGAGCTAAGCCCCAACACTAGGACCTTGACAAATGATAGCATCCAGGGTATCCTTCAAATGCCAATACTAAAATCCAAATACCATGTACATGCCCCACTGGAGATGTGGGATACTGCAACCTTGAGATCCAGCAATGCGGGAACTAAATAAGAAACTAGTTGCTTATACAACTAAAGAGGTCCTGAGTCCTCAGAGGCCTTGAATAAAACAGGTGAGTGAAGTGGGTGATGGGGTCCCCACCAACTCTAGGACTGCCTGCTTACGAAAAGCCTTTTTTTTCTTTTTGTACACAAATGGAGAAAGGGTTGCATCAGGAGTTCTCACCTAAAAACTGGGGTCTCATCACAGGCCTACTGGTTACTATTTATACCAACTTGATCAAGTGGCACCAGGTGCTATTCGGTGCCTTTGGGCCCCCGTGGCAACTGCTGACCTTGTGAAGAGGACCTAACTCCTTCTCCTTGGCTACTCACTGACTGTCTATGTGCCTCATAGTGTTGCTGCCATTTTACCCAGTCTAAGATGCAAGCCTTTTCCCAACCAGTGAGCAGCTGTTTATGAGGTAAGACTTTTGTCCGACTCTAATCTCTCCATTCAGCATTGTAATATCTTAAATCCCTCGACTCTCCTCTCAGATCCCCTGAAAGATGATGAGATGCTGCAGTTACCTTGAGGTAACCAAGGCCACAGAAGAGCACACAGCCTGACCTAAAAGGCTTTCACTTGGAGGACCCCAATCTCACAATGTTCCCAGATGGCTCCTCTGTTTATGAAAACGAAGTACAAGTATCTGGGGAAGTGGTTGTGCCTCCTGGTGCTGTTCAGTGGGAGGCTACACTATCTGATAGATTTGGGGCACAGAAAGCCAAGTTTTGGTGGTGTTGACCAGAGCAAGCCAGTTGGCCAAGGTACTCCAAGTGAACATTTACAATGATTCCAAATACGCCTTTGGGGTCCGTCACACCACTGCTGCCTTGTGGAAGCAATGTGGTTTCATCACCACAAATGGTCAGCCAATGTTGACCAACTTTTTCAAGCTATATTGCTTTCCAAAGTCATTTCCATGAGGTATTGCCTGGATCCTTATAAGCCCCCAAAGCACTGCTTATATTTTCTGACAGCCCACCCACTGACTATTCTTCCTTAGAAAAGCTGAAATTTATGTCTGGATGACCACACACAAAGCCATTCTCTGAGATGACCTGTCGGTCACGCCAGATATGTGCCCCACTGCACCCAAAAGATTACTGTGCCTCCTTCGCCAAACAACTCTATACCCAGGGACATATGTGAAATGAGGTCCTCGTACTGCAAATTTACTGGTCACCATTTGCCCTCACTGTTTATGCACAGGCCCATCATGTGGTCTCTAGATGCCTTTTTTGTCAACAGTTCAACTCCTCACAGAAGTAAACTGTGACATAATTTGGGAAGGACATGGGTGACCCTACCATTTGAACACCTGCAGACTAACTTTACCGAATTGTCAAAGTCTATGGGCTACAGGTATGTTTTGGTGTGGAGAGACCAATAGAGCCATTGGGTAGATGCCTCTGTAGAGATACAAACCACAGCAAACACAGTAACAAGGTGTCTGATCAAAGACATAATATTAAGATTTGGCCTGCCACGTACTCCTGACTGTGACCAAAGGCCACACTTTACTGTAGAATTAACTAAGCTCTCCAAGTGTTTTGGGATAACTCTGAGCCTCTATACTCCCTTATCACCAATGATTATCAGAGGGAGTTGAGTGGCTACACAGAGAAATTAAGACCCTTCTGGGAAAACTATGCCAGGAAACATAGTTAAAATGGCCCCTGGTACTTCCCTTTGTATTGTTCCCACTTAGAAATCTTAATAGGCAGGATTGTGGATTATCATGTTTTGAAATTCTGTTCAGCAGGCCACTGGGGCTGGACCCTGAGAGAGCCTGAATCTAGCCATAATAAGATACATCATATCCGTGTCTAGTTCTCTCACAGGATTGGAAGGAGGCAGGACTAATGCAAACTCCGCCTTTGGAAGACACAGTACATTCATTTGAGTCAGGAAACTATGTGTGGATGCACAACTTCAGGAAGATATCCAATCTCCATCCCCCCTGGAATAGACCTTTCCAGGTCCTGCTGACCAGTCATACTTCCATCAAGGTTGCCAAACAGATGACCTGGAAACATCATTTCCACATGAAGCCTAGAGTGACTTACTTTAGTCCAGCTGAAGAAGCAAGCCCTGAAAAGCCCTTAGACCTAGTTAAGTTGAGAAAGGACTCCCAACACCAATCAATGGTCTTTGTTTGGCCACAATAATTATGACCTAATCCTTCACCTACTAATCTACCATGCATTTATTTTTGGCACTTTATGCCCTGCTTTGAAACCCTGGGAGGAGAAACAGAAGAGTCCAACACTTATGTGCATCTGCTCTACCATGCTTTTAACTGAACCAACTGCTAGATATGAACACATGCCCCTTCGTCCTTAGGGGAAAGTATACCCCTGGTAGGCATAATGTCAAACATCCAAAGCTTGTGTGATTATTCTTTTGCGATCAATAAGACAAACTGAAATACAACACCAAATTCTACAGCCATGGGCTGGAAAAATGAGTCCTCCTGTTCATTCACTTTTAATTGAGAAAAGATCACTAATCTTTTGCAATTTTTGCCCCCCTGACCTTGAAACATATTGTCAGGTCACTGGTTCTGTGTTATGAGCAAACAGGACACAAGGTCAGGAAATGGGATGGCAAATGGAATACAACTATACATCCCTGAAATGAAATGTGACTATTCAGGAGCAGAAGGGCCTTCTCAGAATTTTCCTTAAGCTAGGGGCCAGGTACATACCAGTAGATTTTTTAAGACAGCCCCACAACAGAGATTTTATTTCCTATGTAACAAAAAAGTGTATTACCAGTTCCCTTCAAATCGTCAGGAAGAAGCAGGCTGTGAAGGATGCTCTTTGGCATCCAGCCCACACCTACTTGGCCTCCTAACACACCCTTGTGAAGCAAGCGTGTTGCCATCCAAGTTTCTGTTACACTTTCACCTTTAGTAGGAGAGCCTTGTTTCCCATGATATTGCCCATGTAGGGGTCTGGTTGCAGCATAGCCCTATGGAATAAAATGAAAAAATTTTTGCAAGTACTTGTTAATGAACCCACAGGCGCAGTGGAAGAGTTTAATCTGTGGCCTTACAAAACAGGCTAGCTCTAGATTTTCTTCTAGCAAAGAGGGGAGGGGTATGCACTCTCATAGGTTAAGAGTGTTGCATCTTAAGTTCCTGACAACTTCAATGACATTCATATCCACACAGTTCCAGTTTGGAAAGCCCGAAACAAATTCCAAAAGGATGGGAAGGAACCTTAGTCCTCAAGAGAATGGCTAACCTCTTGGTTCCCCACTATCTTACGCTGAAGTGGGGTTTCTCTTGTATTTCCTCATAGAGATCATGGGTTGCTTGTGTTTACAGTGCTTCCTTTGGTGCAAAGAACTGACTGATTCCCGAGCCAACTCGCAAATTACAAGCAGCAGAGATTAAGATGATGTAGTTGAGGATAGAAAGAGTGATATAGGCCTGGCTGTGGTGCTGTGCCATGAGTATAGTTAGCATCAAAGACAGTACTGTGCAAAGTCAGTCACTTGTGCAGAATCAGTCTGAGTGACCACCACGCTTAAACCCTGCTTAGACTTAGGGTATGTGCACAACCAGCCTGAAGGAGATGGTGGCCCAGAAACAATCCTTGCATACATACGCACACTTAGACATCAGGTAGGAGTTGAGGAATTACATAACCCATATCCTCATGATATGTATATCAATCAACTTACTTTTGCCCTTATCTGAAGGTTGTTTAGTCCTGTCTATAAAAGCTCCAAAAAAATTTGAAATCCACACTGGCCACAGCCAAGTGCTTGCTGCTTTGGTGTGCTAATAAATTACTTTTAACTTTATTTTCCTGAGTTTGCCTTGTTGACCAAGGTGAGGCCCAAATCAAGATTTCTTTTGATATTTCTTTTTTTTGTTCGTTTGATGAACCAGTTGGGGTTAAGTGACTTTCCCAGAGTCACACAGCTAATGAGTGTTATGAATTCAGGTTCTCCTGACTCCAGGGCCAGTGCGCTATCCACTGTGCCACCTAGCTGCCCCCCAAGATTTCTTTTAATAGAGCCATTGGAGTTGAGTAGGAGAGTGTGACTTGGTCAGATCTGTGCCTAAGGAAAATAACTTTGGCAAATATAGTGAAGATGAGACAGTGAAAGACTTAAAGGAAGGGAGACTAAAAAGCTGTTGCAATAGTTTAGGTAAGAAGTAATGAGGGCCTGGACATGGGTTGTGAGTGGAGTACATGAACAGAGAGGAGACAGAGGTAAGAGATAATCCGAGATAGAAAAAGCAAATCTGTTAATTGAAATTATATTGAGAAGAGGATAAGTAAGGAATCTAAAACTGTATCAAAGCTACAATCCGGGGAGACCAAGTTTGTAGCCTTGATACAATTTTTGATTCCTTACTTTCTGGGAGACCAGAAGAATAATGGTTTTGCCAGAAGTATGGAAGTATGGAGGAGGGGTGGATTTGGATGGGAAGTTGTTGAGTTTTCAATGTCTCCAGGACGTCCAGTTTGAAATGTCTAACAGAAAACTGGTGAGCCAGGACTGAAATTCAGAAGAGATGAAAGGATATAGAGATTTGAGAGTCACCTGCATCCAGATAGTAGTTAAACCCAAAGAAGCTAATTCAGTCACCAAAGTAATATAGAGAGAAAAACCTACAAGAGAGCCTTGTGCAGCACTCACATATAAGAGTGTATGACATGGACGATAATTCAGCAAAAGATACTGTGGAGCAGCCAGAAAAGAAGTGGAGGCAAAGATATAAGCAGAGGACTTTGACAGAGAAAGAGAGAATTTTGGATGGGAATGGATATAGGATGATATTAAGGGTCTGATAAGGTCTGGGGATGACTTTAAAGACTGTGGAAGACTTGGCAAAGTCTTGGGACTTCAAGGATTCTTAGATATGACACTTTCATTTTTGCTCTACAGAGAACCACAGTACATTTACTTTCAGACTCTAACAGAACACTTTTTTTTAGTCTGGTCATCTCTCTTTTTATTTGATCCTTTCTTTATCAAAAGGAGACCATGAATGCCTGCCTTTTCCCCTAGCTCTAATTACTAGATTGTTAGGTAGCCTAGACGGAAAGTACTAGCCTGAGTTTGTATCCTGCCTCAGACTCTTAGCAGCCTTCGTTTCCTCACCTGTAAAATTGAGATAACAGATTAACACTTCACAGGATTGATATCAAAATCAAATGAGGTAATACAAGTAAAGTGCTTTGCAAACCTAAACTCACTTAGTGAGGGTGTTTCAAGTCTTAACACATAAGGTTCAGTAGCTACATAAATGTTAGCTGCATGTTAGATATCATTATTACTTCAGCACTCCCTTGTTTAGAGACAATAATTGTAAAGCACCTAACACAGTGCCTGGTACATAGTAAGCCCTATATAACCGTTAGATTATTTAACTATAAGATGTCAGTCTCCTCACTCTCACATCAAAAACAATTTGAGAGAATGCCAGAATAAGGACATTGGTCTGATGATGTGCACCTTTTGATATAAATTTGTCCAAAAACTAGTCTCCTCCATCTCACAAAATGTAAGAAACCTAATTCTTTCCTTTCAGGTCCAGTAAATAAACTCTACTTGCTAGTTCCTTTCAGAAAAGAAAGCTAGGGGCAAAGAAGCCTCCCATACTTCTCATGACCTGGAAGTCAACAATATGACAGGACTGCAGTAGAATCAACAGGAAACGTGAGTGCCTAATGGAAACAAACACTTGAAGAAGTCAGCAGGCTTGCAAATACAAAGGCAGAGCACAGACGTTTTACTGCGGACACGATGCAAAGTTGGAAACCTTAAGTCAACAGGTTGGCTGCCCAAACCTCCACCACTATCTCCTTCTGCAAGACGTGGGTGTGCCTGAGAACATGACACACCAGGCTGTGATTTTATTAGAGCTCTTCTCCAACGGAGAGCGCAGCGGAGAGATGGGGGAGCTACATGAAAGAAGGCTCCGGGAAGGGCCAGGCGCTCATGCCAACGTCCCCCTCCAACCCCCCCGCCCCCGCGCCCGGCCGCTGTGGTCACCTCCTTTCCGGCCCGGGGAAGTAGCCGTCAGGAGGGATCCCAGAACCTCCCCGGCCCTTTCAGCTCTAACTTCTCCGCTCGAGGGTCGCCTGGAATCCTCCCCCTTCCCCCCACGCACACTTTCCCAGCCTCGAGAAGCCACCGGCGCCACAAGAAGAAACTGACCCTTGCGGGCCCCCGTTTGGAACTTCCGTCCCCTTTCCGCCCCCACCCCCGCCCACGGAGGGAGTCGGCTGAGGGGGTGTGAGGCTGAGCGCGGGGCAGGCTGGGGTGCGCGTCCACGAGAACCGGGCCCGCGCAGCAGGTGCTGCCGGGGCCTTCCCCCCGCCGGTGACGACCCCTACCCCCCCAGGACTCTCACCCCGACAACGTTTCTCAGAGACGCAACCACCACGGCCGCCGCCTCTTCCGACCACTTGGCTCCCAGGTCGCCGCCGCTGCCGCCGCTGCGCTCGCCGTCGTCGCCGTCGTCGTCGCCGCGGCGCGCGCCCGCTCCCACGCACAGCTCCGTGGCCGCGCCCGCGCCAGCTGCGCGCTGGCGTCACTTAGCAACCGCTAGAGGCCCAGCGCAGCCGAGCGCCGATTAAGGTTCCGGAGCGGCGGGCGCCGAGCCGAACGCCCCCAGAGCTGGCTGTGGCCCCGCCGCCCAGCGCTTGTACCCCTGTGGCCCCGGGATAGGTCGAGACCCCCCCGGGGGGCGTGGCTGATAGCCCGCCCTGCCCTTACGTCACCTTACGTCACTATGTCGTCACCGCTGCTCCATCACGTCACTGTTGTGGCCGGGGAGGATGTAGGGGGGCTGCCTTGGGCTGTTTGGCCTGCGCCAGGCCCAGTCTCTGTCAGGAAGTCCGTTGGCTGAAGAAGATAGCGTTGTTGGGGCAGGGATGAAAGAACCTTGAGCTGGGGGGTTCAGAGGACGAGGTTTAAGAGCCTCCGACTTGGGGGGTGGGCAATCAGCCTCGTTCTTGAGGTGGGGGCAGAGTGGCTTGAGAGGTCAACCTGGGGGGATGGCCAAAACTGCCCCAGAGATACTGTTGTCGCTGGCCAGTCCTGGAGGGCTTTCCAGAGGAGGTTTTTTTGAGAGGGGAATCAAAAGATCTAGGTGGACCCCAAGAAGTCCTGATTGAAGGTTACGTTGAAGTACCATATGATAAATCAATACAAATTTACGTACTCTGGGATGAACAACGCTGCCAGAGTTGTCTTTGCTAGCAGTTGATTTGATTGGTTTCCTCCCCCACTTTTTCTAAGGCCTAAATAATAGTGGAGATGTCTCTACCCTCTGAGAAGTCCTGGACCAATAAGTTGTCATCCAGGAATATTATAATATTATTCAAGAGGCAGAGTACACATACATGAGAAAAATGCTTTGTAAAAACTGGAACAAATAAATAAGTATAACTGAGTATTCAAGAGCTGAAGAGGACACGGAGAAGAGTGGTCATAATCAGATGAGTTTAATTTGGGAAGATTTCCTAGAGGAGGTGAGTTTTCAGTTTCTCGTGAATCTCCAACCCCAACCCAGATGGATTTCTCTAAGGCTCACTTGTATGATCAAGTACCTGTTAGGTACTGTTAGAGCTCTCCCACTCTAGAAGTGGGGCACAATGTTAGTTCAAAATCACCCAAAAAGTTTCATTCAATTGATTGGAACTTATACACCTATTCACTAAACCCAAGAAGGGGAAACACTGGCTGCTTCTTTATAAAAGAATGACTAGATGCCCAAGACCTTTTACTGAGTTCATCTTTTATAATCACCCCAGGTCAGTCCTTAAGATTGGTTCCCCCACACACATACTCTGATCTTCTTATCCTATTTCACTGTCTCTAAAACCACCCACCCATATTTATTTTTAATCCTTTTCTGTTGAAGAAATATGTACATCTTTGGTAGAAAAAATGTTCTAAAAGTGTGTGCTATACAATTTGAATAAAGTTTTTTTTTTGTTCTAAGTGTTGTACCGAGAAATCAGCGAGTGAGACCCAGACGTAATTTAAGATGTGAATTTTATTAGCATGCGGCAGCAAGCCGCATCCAAATCAAGCAGCTGCCATCAGGGGTCGAGCTAGGGTTTATATAGAAAAGAGCATGGGAAAGAAATGTGAGGAACACTGATGAGGTAATCCAAAGATGCAGGTGTCTTTGGGGGCTATGGATGGGAAAGTACAGGGAGTATACAGGACAGGGAGGGGGATGGATCTTTGAAGTCTGGCAAGAGGAAGAGTTCTTGGGCTGGTCAAGGACACCCCTCTCCCTCTGTCTTGACATGAGAATGCTCTGCAACAAGGGAAAGCTTTCTCACAACTAAGGAATTGGGAGGCTTCCAGAGACATGATCTGAGGGCTGGGGCCTGAGCAGCCAGATAAGGGTTGTGCTGAGGCCCATGCGTGAATACTGCTAGGCACAGTGTCCTTGGGCTGGGGAGTGGTTATCAGAGACAGTGTTTCTGAGACTAGGGAGACATTTGGGGCACAAGTATAAGCACAAGCACCCGAGCACCCCATCATTACAGGTCAGAGATCACACAAACCAGACCAGGTGTCCTGGTCTCTGGTATAAACGTAATTATCTAAAGCAATTGTATTGCAAGCTTTCTTATCCATTTGCACTGGAGGTATGGGCTGTGCTTAAGCTGTGCAAGAGTACATTTCACTATTGTTTAGATTTAGGAGGAAAGAGGTCTGGGGCAAGATTAAGCAGCAACTTCTGCTTTCCATGGCCTAAAGGGCCCTACTACCTAAATGGTAAAATAATGTTCTGCATTACATAAGGAATTCTACCCAGTATTTTTCCATTCCAGACACTAATGGCTTGTCATCAGTTATTTACTTGCCCAATAGTCCTCCCCAAAAAATGCAATGATTAGAAATAGAAAATGGTAAATCTTATTTTTTGGTACAAACATTAGCATGCAATTTTTATAATTATAAAATTTTTGTTATTCAGTCACATCCCTCTCCACACCCTGCAATCTGTCCAGCCAAGCTGACTGCCTTTTCCAAACATACCACACTCCATCTCAAGTCTCCATGCCTTTGCACTGGCCACCCTCCAATGGCTAGAATCCCCTCCTTCCTCACCTCTGCTTCACAAAATCCCTGTCTTCCTTCAGGACACTGCTGAAGCACCACCTTCTGCATGAAGCTCTTCTTAATGCCCTCAGCTGACAGTACCCTCACTCTCAAGCCACCTTTTATTACTTTGTATCTATTTTTATTTATTCTCTTTATATCATGTATATGTATGTGTGTACTTTACTCCCTTATTAGGTGTTTAGGTATTAGAATTGAAGTATTAGTTTGTTTAGCTGTTATTTCTTTCTTTGTATTTTTGCCCCCAGTGACTGGCACATAATAAGCACTTAATAAATAGTTGAGCAATTGATAAATGCTTATGATACCTACCTGGATATTTTCTACCTAGTCTTCTATTTGTTCACGTGAAATTGGGAACATGCACCGTCTGACATTGATAAGCATCTACTATTTTTATAAGGTCTAAGATTTTGAGGGGAATAAGGTTAGAATAGTATTTTAATTCTTCTTGAAAAAACTTTTTGTTCTTTTAGAACCTCAGAATTGGAAAGTATGTGGGCCTCCAAATTAGCAGGTCTAGCCCACTTGGCACCAAGGAGTCTTTGGTGCCTGTTGGAGAACAGCATACTAGCCCCTGGAATAAAAGGACATAAGCTTCTAGAAAGTAGCTTAAGATGGGATAAAGTGTCCATTCTTTGCCACTCCCTTCATTTTGGCTTCTTACGCTTAGAAATCTTTGGCTGTGAACTCCAATGGACTCTACCCTTCACCTCTGCACCTACCACGGTAGGATCATCCTGTGGATCCAACCCCCTTATTTACATCTGAGGCACTAAGAAGTAAAATGACTTGCCCAGGGTCACATGGTTAATGTGTCTGAGGCAGGATTTGAATACAGGTCTTCCATCTACCCTGTATATGTCTTATATGTACATAGTTGTTTGCATGTGCTCTCATTAGAATGTGACATCTTTGAAGGCATAGACAAGTTTTGCCTTTTTTTGTATCTTCAGCATTAAGCATAGTACTTGGCACGCTGTAAGCACATAATAAATGCTTTTTGATTGACTAATTCCTGACTACAGATCTGCATCTCTATCTCTTATGCCACAGAGCCTCTCTCTGATAGCGGAATGACCTAGCCTTCAGATTATATCTGCTTCCCTGATTTGATGTATTTTTCTCCAGTGGTCCTAGGCAAAGATGGAAAAGACACTGAGTCTGGAGTCAAAGGACTTGAATTCAAATCCCAACCATGCTACTTACAATCTCTGTGATATTGGGCAAGTCATAATCTCCCTAAGTCTTAGTTGCCTTATCTGTTACAGGACTTGAGCTACCTATCTTCCAAGATTGTGGTAAAAAAAAAAATTGCCTTAAGGGTTACTAATATGTAAGCAATTATCCCTCCCCTAAGCATTTCCTAATTATGGGTACCAGTCCTGCCTCAGGCACAATTTGGGAGAAAGAACCCCAGAGTGCTTATCCAGCTTCCAATTGGAGACTTGCAATGATTAGGCATTCTCTAGTTCCTGAGAACTAGTTATTGTTATTATTATTATTTTAGCTTTTAGGCAATTGGGGTTAAGTAACTTGTCTGGGGTCACACAGCTAGTAAGTGTCAAATGTTTGCTCTGAGGCCAGATTTGAACTCGGGTCCTCCTGACTTCGGGGCTGGTGCTCTATCTGACTGCCTTTTCCAAACACACCACACTTCATCTCCAGTCTCCATGCCTGTGCACTGGCCACCCTCCAAAGGCTGGAATTCCCTCCTCCCTCACCTAGCTGCCCCTGAGAACTAGTTATTCTAAGATCCTAAGTTATTCAATTTAGTAATTCAGTTGTTTGGAAACTTTTAATTACAGGTATCCCCTCCACATCGTGACTTTCCTCATCATGGTTTCAATATATCGACGGTCAGCATAAGAAATTAAATGGGAATTTTAGGGGAGTTTTATGGAAGCCCGCACTGCACACAAAGACCAGCAGATGACACACAAAAAAGGTTTAGAAACTCAGAAATGCATAAAATGTATGTATAGTATTGTATAATATCAACCAATTTTATCTTTTATTTCAAACTTCAGAGTTTGGTTAAAAGCAAAAAATTAGGTGATACACATATATAATATATATATATTTATATATACATTTATTATATATCTATTTATATACATATATATACACATACATGCGTGCAAGTCAGAAAGTAATTCTGAGCTCAAAGAAGGGCTAGCTGAAGAAGTGTTTATACCCATAGATTAACCCACCCCTCCAATGCAGACCCCCCACCCCCACTCAGGACACAGAAAAGGGAGTGTCAAGAGAGGGCCGTAAAAAGATAAGGGAAATGTCCAGTGAGCCATGTCCCTGGCAGAAGAATGTTCCCAGTCAGCAAAATCCAGCAGGAGGGCTTGGATTCACTCTGAGAGCATGCAAAGCATGTCTGTTATGCCAGGCTGGTTAGTCCAGGTTTTGGTCCTTATTCAGGGCTTAAATGATCTGAAATGGTCATCATTTAATAACATTAATATACACAATTTCCTTTTTAAAGTTAAATTTAAGTTTGTGAAAAGAATGTGAAAGCCAGCAGATGACACACAAAGGCTAGAAATGTAGAGATATCCAAAAAAGTTTAGTAACTCAGAAATGCATAAAATATATTACCTATACTGTATGTTTTACTATTTAATAACACAATGACTAGCTATACAATTTTTTTTCTTACAATTAAATTTGTAGTAAGAGAACTCTGGTTCCAGGCAGTGGTTTGGAGGTGCTAAGTGTGCTTATGGCAATCTCTCACATGACATTTTGCAGTGATCTTTGCATCTCCTGTTTTTCGTGGTTTTTTGTCATTTAAACACCATAAACTCTATGAAAATCATGGGTCCCAAGGGTAGTGTTCCTAGTGATTCATAAAGTGCTCCCAAGAAGCAGAGGAAAATGATGAACTTGAAGGAAAAAGTAGAATTGTTTAGATATACTTCATTGTGGCAAAATGGCTGCTGCGGGTGGCGGCCATGTCAGCATTAATGAAGCACCGTAAGGCATATCAAGAAAAGAGAGAAGGAAATCTGGCATTGCTGCAGCTACACCAACAAATGCAAAGCATTTGCATAGACTGTAGGCTCCCCATCTCTCTTCCACAGAAAATGCAGCTTTCTTTTGGCTATAGGATTGTTATAAACAAAAGGCATTCTCATAGGCATCATACAAGAAAAGACTAAGTCCTTATATGATTTTCTAAAGGAAAATGAAGGTGAAGGGTCTACCCCCTAAGGATTTTCAGGCCAGCGAAAGCTGGTTTGAAAATTTCTTTTAAAAGGGTTAGCCTAAACAATGTAAAAGTAACAGGAGAGACAGTTTTTGCCAATCAAGAGACAGCTAGGGAGTTTCCTGAAACCCTGAAGAAACTGATTGAAGAGAAAGGCTACAAACTGGAACAGATATTTAATGCTGATGAAACTACACTGTATTGGGGGGGGGGGAGAATGGCTCAGAGGACATACATCAGTCAGGGGAAGCAAGCCCCAGGTTTTAAAGCCACGAGGGATAGGGTAACAAGGTCCTGTAAACACCCCATAAAAGAAAAAGAAAAACTTCAGACTTCTTCCCTGGCACAAAGGGAGAGCCAAAAAATTTTATGTGGATTTTCCAGATCAAGAGGGCACCACACCTCTAACCCCTGCCATGTAAAAGGGATAACTGTATATTGAAATTAATTGAAATTCTGGGAGCCAAGATGGTGGAGTAAGCAGCAAATCACTCCAACTTTCCCTTATTGACTAATAAAAACCCTGAAAATCATGCCCCAGAAAAAATCCTAGAACAGCAGAGCTAGCAGAAAGATGGGGTGGAGCAGTCTTTTAGCCCAGGAAACTTGGAGGATTTCCAAG